TGGAATGCTTGTAGCCAGAGGTCCTGGGTTCTGGTTCCATCTCATGGACACTGTGTATCACCGTGGGCAAATCATTTAGCCTCTCTCAGAGTTTTAGTCTGTTTGTGCTGCTGTCACAGAATACATGAGACTCAGTAATTTCTAAAAAAAAATTATTTCTCACAGGAGACTGAGAGTTCAAGATCAAGAGGCCGACAGGTCTGGTTGTCTAATGAGGGCTGCAAACTCCTGAGGGGAGGAACACTGTCCTCAAGCGATAGAAAGTGAAAAGGAAAGCTCTCGTAAGGCCAAGGGCAGCCTCTTTTAGGAGAACCTTAACCCCTTTACAAGGGAGGAGCCCTCCTGTCTGGATCACCCCACCTCTCCATGCCAACACCTGAATGTCAGAGGAGACGCATTCTCCTCAGAGGAGATGGAGGAGATGGGTCTGAGTGAGGTGAGGGCAACTGGGGAAGTTGTTCATTTTTTCCCAGCTTGAAAATTCTCTAGTATGGTATGTTTTCATTTTAGGACGTTCTGCTCCAAAGCACATTAGAAAAAGTTTACCAGGATTTGGCTGGCATTCTTCAAGCTAACCACTTAACAAATATGTAGTTGAAAAATATGTAGTTGTAGTAGAGGAATAAGCTGAAGGCCCAAAGGCTAAATAAAAGAGAGGTGAGGGACTGTTAAGGAAGAGAAAGTTCATTTGTAAACTCATGGAACACCTGCTGGATGCCAAGTGGGAGCTAAGAATCCAGAATATGAAATGAACATGTATGTAAAGTGCCAAGAAGAAAATCCATTTTCTGTCTTGAAATGTCTTTTAAAAGTATTTCCTGGGCTGGGGGGTGGCTCAGGGGTAGAGTGTTTGCCTAGCGCGGCAGGCCCTGGGTTCAGTCCCTAGTGTTGCAAAATAAAGTAAATAAATATGCTTCCTTTACATGATTACGCTTTTTTGGCTAAATAATAAATATGAATAACTTGCTGAGAGCTATCTCGAAATTCTGAGTAGAATCCGGTGGTAATTACTTGTAGGTCTTGAGCAGGTTGGAGTTGTTCAGAATTCCGGCCCCTCCCTTTGTTAATCGACTTTTTTTCCTTCCTTTTGCTGTCACCGAAACCTGGCTGTTTTCTCTGGAGGACCCTGCTGTCCCTACAGCCTTCTCAGGTGGTGACTGTTTACTCGGCAGGGCCTGGATGTGGGTCAGGATGTCCCTTGTGGCCAATTCCATACCATTTCCCCCATCTTCTCCTTTTGAGGAAAAAAGCATTTCCTTTGAAGCATACAGCACTTCAGATTATGTCACCAGCTGTCCCCCTTATTTCAGTAACTTGCGGGTCTTTCCCTCTCTGACCCCACTGCTTCCCTTCATGTTGGCCCCGCCTCCCTTGCCCGTGTCCCTGACCTAATTACCGCCTCATTCTTGGTGACCTCAGCAGAGCCCTGCAGGGAACCCTGGCCTCTTGGCTTTGTGGCCTCCCGACTTCTGGCGGCCTTATTCTGTATCTGACCTCTGCCACTAGCTCTCAGGTCATTCTCGGGCCTTATGACCAATGACTCCTTTGTCTCTGAGATCACCTTCACCCCTACACACACCACCACCACCTCCCATGTTTCCGGCTTACTTCTCTCGGTCCGAACACTCCCGTGGTTCCTCCACTCCAGTGGGACCTCCCACTGTCCGGGAGCTTCTCTCACTTTCCTCCCTCTCTACCTTAGAGGTCACTTGGCTTTCACCCGTCTTACCCTTTCTGGAAAATTCTAACCTTGTTTAAACCCAACTCGGCCCTCTGCATGCAGGTAGGCAAGGCTAACATTACACAACATGTGATTGGACTCACTTTACGTGGATGGCCGGTTAGAGACTGAGTATTTGTGTCCTTCCGAGATGCATGTATGTATTGGAATTCTGACCCGAGTGTGACAGTGTTGGAAGGCAGGGCTTCGGCCAGGTCACTAGGTTGTGAGGGTAGAGTCCTTAAGAAAAGATAGGTTCCCTCCTAAAGGACTCCCAAGAATTCTCTAGTCTTGTTTCTGCCATATGGGAGAGGTAGAACCCAACTGAGCTGGCACCCTGATCTCACTCAGGCTTCCAGCATCCAGAACTTTGAAACATAAACTTGTGTTCTCTGTCGTCACCTGGTCTGTGGTACTTTGCTGTAGCAGCTTGGACTAAGATATGGTTGTGGACCTCAGGTGAGCTTTCTGCTTTGCCTGACGAGCCTATTCTTTGCATAGTCAGTTCACCCTTATTTTCCCACTCCTCCTCTTCTCTTTGAAACTTTAAACACCTTCACATTCAAATACTGACCTTGTTTTATACATCACAGAGAAAATATTTGCCTTCGAAAGGGACTTTCCTTTACTGAATCCAGTAATCTCCCTTACATCTGTGTCCATATTACCTGCCAACCCTCCAGTGGATGACCTGTCCCTCCTCCTGTCTGTGGCCTATCCCTGACCTGCACATTGGAACCCTCTTCAAGCCTATGTACAACCTTTGTTCCTGTTGTTCTCCCCTCTGCTGAATAGTCCTCAGCACCAGCGAACATGCTGTTGGATTATAAGTACCATCTTCACTTCTTTCTGCTCAACACCATGTCCCAGTGTTGTGCTGTCCAATTTGTGTTCCAACTCTCAGACAAACTCACGGAAGGCATTGTCTCTAGTTAGTGTCCTTGTGTTCTCACTTCTTATTCTCTGTTGGAGTCACCAACAGTCAAGATCCTATCTCTACCATTCTATTAAAGTCTCTCTCGTGAAGGTACAGGTTGAATATCCCTTATCTGAAATGCTGGGATCAGAGGTATTGCAGATTTCAGGTTTTTTCAGATTTTGGAATATTTGCATATAGATATTGAGATGTCTTGGGAATGGGACCCACGTTTAAACATGAAAATCATTTATGTTTTATATACACATAACCAGAAGGTGATTTTGTGCTGGATTTTTAGCCTACCTGTGTTTTGAGCACGAGCTGTCACATGAGGCCCAGTGTGGAACTGTACATATGTGGTGTCAGGTCAGTACTTAAAAAGTTTTGGATTTTGGTGTGTCCCAGGTTTCAAATTTTCAAATTTGGGATGCTCAACTTGTGTCAGGTTCTACATTGTCAGACCCTGTATAATCTTCTGGTATTGTTCATCTTACTGGATCTCTCGGGAGTATTTCTTCATCTTTTAACATTTATTTTGGCCTAATTTCTGACATAGAGAAAGGCAAAGCAGTAGAATGAAAGGCTTCCCCTGTACCCTTCCTCCACATCCCCTGCTGTTAACATTAGACCATGACTGCCTTGTCCCCGCATGCGTCTCAATCTGTGCATGCGCGTCCACACCTGGGACATGCTTTCTGCACCCCGTGATGCTTTCTCAGCATTTGGCAGCTGGTCACCATCCCTGCTTGCGGCCATCTTGGGGATCTCTTCATCCTTCCCCAGGGACTTTTCCCCTTCAGTCCCTTTCACAAACTTTTCCTCCTGCTGAGGGCTGTCCTGGCACGCCTGTTCATTACGTAGTCAGTTCACCTTTACTTTCCCAGATTCTGGGCCAATCCCTAGGTGATCTCTTTGGTCCCTTCAGCCTGGACCGCTCCCCTCTGCTCCAAACTATCCTCCTCTCTCCTTGTGTCTCCATCCAATGTCACAGGCCAGAATTGTGTTCCCGCCCTCCCCTTCCGTGCTTCTCTCCCGGTGTTCACCACGTTAGGAAATGTGCATTCTGACTGTGCTACCACACACCTCTTAGCCAGCCACTCTGCCTTCAGAAAGCCGGGTGTTCCCACGCCCACTGTTCCGGTGTGAGCCCCTGTCCCCTCTCCTGGACTGTGTCTGTGACCTCCTAACCTGTCTCCCTGTCCCTGCTCTTACTCCCTGGAAATCTGAGCCAGTTTTTAAAAAGCAAATCTTAACCATGCCACTCCTTTGACCAAAGTCCTCCTGTCATCCTTAACATACAATCCAAGCCCCTTGTGGTCCAGGCTCTGTCCTCCTCCATGACTACAGCAATGCCCTGGTTCATGAACTTAATTCCTTCCCCGATTCCAGTCGAGAACCAAATTGGTCACAAACTAAATCACATTTCCCCATAAGGTTCACTGTTAGCAGATGTGGAGTTCCCTAACGGAAGCAAACTTTTGCCAAACGCTTCTGTTCATGAACCCAGTTGTTCCAAACAGAAGCATTCGTGAAGCGAGTCATCACTGTCCTTTATTACCAGCCCTCAGGGCTCTGCTGTTAACAGCACCCAAGTGGCCCCACCGAAGCCTCCCTTACTTGGTGCTGGCCTTGGCTTCCCAGTCCTTTGCTCTTCTCCTTCCTTGCTCATATTTCTTCCCACTCATAACTGCTTTCTGCCATATACAGATATATATTTATTCTCTATTATTCCCCAATAGAAAACATGATCCTTAAGGCGAGACTTTGTCTGTTTCACACCAAGTGCCCTGGCACATAAGTATCCCTTACGTGTCTGTTGATGGGCGAGGTGGTGGGCAAAGGCAAAACGAATGTGACTGACTGGTTTGTGACCAGAGTAGAGCCCAGTGGCCCTGGCTGGACTGTCGCCCTCATAGACTGCAACGGAAGGAATTCCAAAGAGCCTGGAGTCCTCAGGTTAAGCCCAACATTTCACCAACTTGCAAAGAAGGAAAGATCATCTTTGTGCCCCAAGGCATATATATATAACTTTGCAGCTGTTTTCTGAGTTTCCAAGTGAGTCCTCACTAAATTATTCCCAGTCCCCTCAAGAACTCTGTGGCTTTTCCTTCCTTCATTACTGGGGAAGGAGGTGGTTATACGAGGAAGAGAAGGAATGCAGTCTTGGATCCAGTGGACTTAGGCCAGAGTCGCAACCAGAATGAAATATATGCTTGATTTAAGGTCTGTTTAGATTTGGTCCTCCTTTCCCCAATTCAGTCGATCTAGAAAATATATTGGCTAGGGTTAGGACTTGGCAGATTAGTATATATGGCTTATGTTTTAGATATATAAATCAGATGAGATCAGATTCCCCATACATTCATTTGAAAATGGTACCTTTGTATTTGTGTAAGCAACGGTAAAAACCTTTAAAAAAAACAAACAAACTATAAACAGGGATATTTCTTTTTGGACTATTTTACCTAACCAAAAGCAGCCTATTTATGTTAAATAATAACAATAAAAATGATTTTTAAAAATAAACATCATCAATACCAGCTGCACAACAGTTTTCAGTCTCTATCTCACCCTGTGATCTTGGACGGGAGAACAGCCCAGTGGCAGCCCAGGCATTCTGCTGACAAAAGGGTCCCCAGCCTCTCTCCTTCCAGGCTTGGGATATGTCTACAGACCCCTCTCCCCAGTGAGAGAGGCTGGCTGCGGTGCAGAGCTGGTCCGCTTGGAATGAAGACATCAAAGCTGATTCTGATCCAATTAGAAAAAGACAGTATTGTCCTCTAATTCCCGGCATTCTCAGGCTGTTATGAACACTTAGCCAGTTTCCTTGGGGATCACCATGGCATTGACTTTGGGCTGAGGCTCATTGACATGCACATGTAATGATAGACCCCCGTCTCTCCCACGTGCACAAGCCAGGGAAGCCTGGGAGCCACTCATTCTGTCTCACCTCTACAGATGAAGTTTTTTAGGATTTGCACAGTGGCTGGAAATGCTGTTTTTCCTCAGTTGGTCTTAAATGAGTGTTAGTCTCTTGTGTCTTAGAAAGAAGAATGCGAACACTTTATTGGGAAAAAAAATTTTTAACTGTTTCCATTTATAGCGCTTTAGAGAATGAACATGGGAAATAGTTTAAGCTGGTAATTTTAGCTATTAGTCCTGGCTTTGGAATTCCCAGAGATACTTATCCGTCTGTGTTCAAGTCAATTATTCCATCCTCTCTAGCACATACTTCTTTTGTTCTGTGGTGTTCCAATTTCTCTTGAAAGCCACCTGCCCTTCATAGTGTACAGATGATTTTTATATTGAGCTTCTTAAAATATCTGCTGTCTTCAACTGCTATCGCCTATGACGAGATGAACCATACTTTTAGTTTAGAAAGTGAAACATAAGAACCAAAGTATATCAAGTATAGGTACAAATTCCCAATAAGGAATGTGATCATAATGTATACCTAAAATCCACCAATAAATTTAATGAACAAAAATATAAAAATAAATTTAAAAATAAAGTTTAGAAAGTATTTTCCTGGGATTACTTGGGTTGGTGTGGACCACTTGCCATCTGAATTAGATTTGATCTTGGCAGAAGACACGCTAGCCTTCTCTGCTCTCTACCCGTGGTGTAAATCCGAATGCCAGCTGCCATCTTGGAAATAGAAATTGTTCATGGGATTGAGCAAATGAGGATAAGCACATTAAGGGTGAACCCAATCCCACTCCAGAGAGACATGTGCCCTAGGAGTCTTCTATACCTTCATTATCTGATGGTTTCCATTTCATCTCATCATTTTGTCCACATCTAAAGATCACCTGATTACATTGTTCTCAGTGTTTCTTTTAAATTGGTTTGTAAAGTTCAGCATCATTCTCAGTTATAGTATTCATAAAATTATGGCTTTGCTGGGCTTGTTATTTTTTTCATTACTATTCACAAAAATTTAAATGTTAATCCAGGTACCATTAAATTTTCATACAGTACACTTAGAGTAATTACTTCTTCCGTGGTTTAGTATAAATGTCATCTTTCTTCAATAATGATTTAGAAAAAAGGTCTGTGGTAGCCCAGTAAGTCTGTAATATATACATTGAATATGAACCCTGTTTGATTTCAGAGATACAGAAAATCAAGGTAAGTGTGGATAAGCACACTCTAGCGCTATACAAAAGTGAAGGACTTGTAGGACCTTTTTGAAATATAAAAATAGGACATTTAAAGCACCACTGAAGATAGAATTAAAATAAAGATGAGAATAGCATTATTAGTGTCCCCACCATTTAACATGTTTCGCTTGCAGAGAGGAAGCAAGCACTAGGAAAGAGAAAAATAGTTTTACTAAATCTAACAATCTCGCTTCAGTCTCTCCTGCACCTGAACTGTGTCATTGGCTCTCTCTGTCACTCTTTGTCAAATAAAGCGTGGGATTAATGACTACTATTCTGGCCCAGGTTTCTCAAATGGAGCCCCTCTTGCCTGCTTCCTCAGGCACTGAATAGCACAGCACCGCACCCAGGCAATTGCTATTACAGACATTCCTTGTTTAACGACCAAGTTCGTTTCCCGCAACGAAGTTATTAAATGAATTGATCGCCAAATGAGAAGCTGTATGTGGTGTGTACCATATAATATTCAGAACAAAGAAATGGTCAAAGGAAACTCCAACTTGATGACTTTGCTTTTATTTGCATAACTCTCACATGCAGTGCTGTAAAGTATAACAGAAAACAACAGTACCGTATAATACAATCACCAAAAATTACAGTACTGTATAAACAAGGTGTACTGCACCAAAAAAGACATTGAGGTGCTATAAACAAGATGTACAGAACTATACAAAAAATGGGTCACAAGTCCAAACAGTTATTAAACAGATAGGTCACTAAAGAAGAAATATCTGTAATGTATAATCCTGTGTCCTTTGATTAGAATTCTGTTAAACTTGACTTTCTTTTTTTTCAAGGAGAACCTTTACAATTTCAATCACTGTAGAAAAAAAAATACAAGCAACACAGGTAAAATAATACTCTGTAACCCTATTGTTGCCAGGGATATACCCAAACTTTAGTAGTATTCCTCCTTCCTATCTTTTAAATTATTTAGTATTTTTAAAGATTGTGGTGAGAAGACGCATAAAATTTAACATCTTAACGAGCTGTGAGTGTACAGCTCATTGGCGTTAAGGATGTAGTCCCATTGTTGTGAAACATCTCCCGAACTTCTCCATTAACAGGCCCCTTTTACCCCACCTCCAGCTCTAGTAACTGCCATTCTACTATCTGGTCATATGATTTTGGCTATTTCAGATACCTCATATAAGTGGAATCATACAGTACTTGTCTTCTTGTGTCTAGCTTATTTTCCTTAGCATAGCGTCTTCAAGGTTCATCCACATTGTAACATGCAACAGGATTTCCTTCCTTTTAAAGCTGAGTCATACAACATTGTATTACACCACACTTTTTGTCCACTCTTCTTGCTGGGCATTTGGGTTACTTCTACCTCTTGGGTATTGTGAAGAGTCCTGCTGGGAACATAGGTGTACAATGCTTCTTTGACTTCTTGCTTTAAGCTCTTTTGCGTATATACCCAGAGGTAGGATTGCTGGATCATGTAGTAGCTCTGTTTTTAACATTTTAAGAAACCTGCATACTTTTTCCTTAGCAGTTGCACCATTTCATGTTCCCTCAGAAATATATAAGTATTCTAATTTCTCAACTTCCTTATCAACATTTGTTTGTTTCCTCTTTTTAAATAGTAGCCATCCTGGGGCCGGGGATTTAGCTCAGTGGTTCTGGCGTCTGCCTCACAAGCACAAGGACCCAAGTTCAATCCCCAGTACCAAAAAAAAAAATAGTAGCCATCCTAATGGGTGAGGTATGTTACCTCATTGTGCATCCTTCCTATCTTTGTACAAATCATCTTCAATATATGATGAGGTTACATCCTGATAAACCCATTTACCTCCCAGTAAACCCACTGTAAGTTGAAAGGTCTAAGTCAAAAGTGCACTGAATGCACCTAACCTACTGAACAGCCTGGTTTAGGCTGTGCACTGTACACTGTAGAGTGATTGAGTGGCTGACTGGGAGCTGTGGCTTGCTGCCCCTGCCCAGGGGCAATATCCGTAAGGTAACTAGAAGGTATATGGAGGGGTGTGAAAAGGTGGAAGATGAGGATTATTTTAGAAAGTCTATACCTATGGATAACATAATAGTATCAATACCCAGTCACTAAGTGTGAGAATGACCTTCTCCTTTTGATACAAAAGAGGCATCTTTCTCACTGGCATCTTGGGGCCTGCTACAGGTAAGAAAGGGCCATTCCAGTGGCCCTCTGTACCACTGCTCAAGTGCCTTCTGAGTGAAATAATCAACCTGCCAAGTCAGCACAGCTAGGGGTGGCATGTCTTTAGCTCCTATTGACCTGTGAAGCATGCACCTTTAACATACAAACGTTACCATATTCTATGTGCTTTCTTTGTAGCAAAAGCATTGCTCTGTTTTTGTAAAAATTGGCTCACCTACCTAACTACCACAACTCTTAGCACCAATGGGATAATACAAATTATAGGAGAAGACCAGATTGGTGGAATTTTGTTCACTTAAGACCAGGTAATTTTAGCTACTTGTATAATGAATCCATTTGGGATCATTTTTAAACATTCTATTTTTGTGTATGTATAAAACTTTTTGTAAGTTATTGTAATAAAATATAATTATACAATCATATTTTTAAATAAATGTCCATTCTCAAATGTTTATATTAACTTACTAATTTTATTAATTTACTTTTTTCTTTTTTTTTTTTTTACCATAGGAGAACAAAACAGAGTGAATCAATATCCACCTGCTTATTTGCTCACTCTTTTTTGCTTATTTGCTCACTTGTTTTGTTTTGTTTGTTTGTTTTTGGTACCAGGTCTCAAACTCAGGACCTTCCCCTTGCCAAACAGGCGAGGCACCACTGAGCTAAATCCCGAGCCCTGTTCACTCTTTCGTAGTTTGCTTAGAGAAGTGTTAGTTTCTCTACAGTGGAAATTGGTATTCTGAGAAAGTCAAGGGCCATAGCGGGGCTACATGGGGCCCAGTATTAAAATCTGTTGAGTCCTCTCAGATGTCTTTAGGGGCTTGGACATCTGTCCGTGTTCATTTGTTTTAATGAAGCTGTTGAAGGTAAGATGGTTGGTAATAGCGTAAGACAATTGGGAATAGTGAGAATTGTTGTCAGCTATAGGTCCTACCTAAAAGCTTGAACTTTTTAAAAAATGTCATATGCAGGCCGGGGATTTAGCTCAGTGGTTCTGCCACCTGCCTCGCAGGCTCAAGGATCCAAGTTCGATCCCAGGTACCAAAAAAAAAAAAAAAGTCATATGCCCAAACACCACACCTGGCTGGAATTGGGCCCACATGTGCACTTTGACAACTGCTATAGAAATGGCTCTTTTGGGTTGTTATTTTCCCTAGAGGGTGATTTTACCATCTCTCAGGCCTCCTTTGTTTAGGCCCTAGGACCTTGTGCCCCTAGCTCATACCCAGGACCCACTCTTGCCCTGCCTGGAAGGCTGGCTGACTTTAAATTCCAGAATAAGTCATTTGGATGGGAAGAAAGACTCAAGGTCAGGGAAATCTTCAAATTATGGCCTGAGCAGAGTTGGTTTGTGTGATCTCAAGAATGCCATGAGTTTCCTGGTGGTCCTACAATCAGGCTTGGATAGATTCCAACTAAGTTGTGTAGCTTTAAAAGGCAGACATACTGCTTCCTTCTCTCTATCTCTTATAACTGCATTAACAGGTTTCCCTATTATAACAGTGGGTTACAGCTTAAAGACTCAATGAACTATCCAAGGAGTTCTTAGGGAAACCCAAAGACAAAAGAGACAGAAACAAGGACAACAGGGGAATCTGAAGACCCTGGCACCTGTAGTAGAGAAAACTTAACTAGAAACCGCTAGCTTGATGAGCAAAATTGTTTTGCTTTCCTAAGCCACATTTTCTCCTTTGAGAATGGAGATATTAATGAGAATGACATGTTTGTTGTCTTAAGATTGAATAAAACAATGTAGACCAAGCACTTAGAATAGTACCCAGAACAGAATAAGCACTACCTTAGCATTAACCACGGCTATTGGAACTCAGAGATTTTGTGGATGTGCTGTGGTGAACACCTGAAGTTGGCTGTAAAATATTGTGTGGATGTGCACCTTATTGTTCCTAAGCAGCGGCCAAGATAGAGTAGGAACCCTGATATTAAGGGAAGCTGGGTAAGTTGATGCAGCACTCAGATTTTTGAGAATTGGCAAACTTGTCCTCTAGTATTAGGTTAGCTCTTGATACCTTTCTCGGAACA